GGTGCAGTAAAGACTATTGAAACTTGGTAGATATTTTCATCTATTCGTATACTAGATGTATAAAAAAATTCAAAACACTGGTATTATTTCTTCTACATTTTTTTATCTGTTTTATCCGTGAAGATCGGCTTTTCCCATAAGAGTACGTGTAAAATCAGTGTAAATTAAAATAGTTATATCTCAGCAACCATTTAGTGGATGCATTTTTACTTTTCTGCAATAAATTAAAAAGACTAAAAGAACAATTTCACAAATTTTTAGCGACTTTGTACTATTTTGAAGATAGGTCCGATACATCCTTAAGCAAAACGAAAGCATCATATATGATTACGTACGGTATCACAAATGGTTCGAATGGTTTGTAATGATATGTTCGTTCCTATTACACAATTTATTATACATAGATGGTATAATTGCTTTAATTTAAATTTTTACCTTTTTAAATTCCGGACTTTTGTTTCTTGAGAAAACACTTACTTGATTTACCATATAGATATACGCAAATTATGTATCTTGAAAAAAGTTACACTAAACGGTCAGGGAAAAATTAATTCCGGTTTCTGGAAAACCTGAAAAAGTCAGGGAATTTTTTGTATTGAGTTTACTAGACACCCTGCTCGGGGTTCCAGCCCGTACACGCAGGTATATTTCCGGTCAAAAACACTGTAATCAATCTGGTGTCCTTATTAAGACGGATCAGGGGTCTAATTTCTTTTCTTAACAACATTAAGAGAAATACGAGGGAGAAACCGCTGACCAAAATCTTGTACACCAATGCCCAATGGGTATTACTTTATCTTATTATCTTGTTTTACATTATTTATCTTATGTTATCTTATTTCATCTTATTTCATCTCATTTCATCTTATTTTATCTTTATATTGCCCCAGCAAGACCTAATGCCCCAAAAATACCTAGTACTTAATGCCCAGTAATGCCGCAAATCAGTACACCACAATGCCCCCAGCGGTTTCCCCCTCGGAGAAATACTGACAAGGAAACACTCCCATGTGTAAATCTCATAATAATGCCATATCTATACAGATCTGTTACTTGGATCACTAAAAAGTGAAATTCTTCATTTATAAGCCGTATCTTTGCGATATAAACGTAACAAGTATCAAATATATCTGAATTTTTCGTATCATTATATATTATTTTGTCAATTCTAGGTATTATATAGCAAAATGTTTGTATTAACATTTTGGATAATTTCAAAATTAGCGAATTACGTTGATGAAAATGGTAGAATCAACGTGTCAGACATGTATACCTAAAGACTGCCTCCCAAAATGCAGTAAAAATGTTAAGTACCGTATATTTCATGTCATACATTATAGACTTTTTGTATACATACAATGTATGTTGAAACAAAGGAAAAGATATCAGTGATTTTTATTGACCGTATCTGGCAATTTTAATAATACAGAAAATTTATTGCGAAAATTATTACCTCAGCCAGGGTTTGAACCTGGACTTCCCTACACGCTAGACGGGCGTCTCAACCAATTCGACCACCGAGGCATACGACTTTTAAGAATATTTTCATTAATGGAATAGATCTTTAGTAAAAAAAACTTATAAATAATAAAATAACAAATTATTATATTAATATACGGTCAATGATCCGTAAAATTCCGGTGTACTTGCTACTGGCTTGTGTTTGTATCGCAAAGGTAGGGCATAAATATTAAATTTCACTTTTTCGTAATTCAAACAACGGTATCTGTATAAGTCTGGCATTATTATGAGATTTACACTTGGAAGTTTCCTTGTGTGAGTTTCCTTGTGTGAGATACGCTCTATATAATTCTTTTTCAAATACTGGTCGGAAAAGGGATCGGATTATGTAAAACTAACGGCGCACGATACTATTTTTCCTACTGGATTGCTTACGAGAACCAATAAGGACTTATTGTTAGCCTTAAGGAGGGTGGTTGCTCAAATAAAAATGAATTCAAATTTATAGAAAAAATATACAGGGTGTCCTGAAATTCGCGAATCAAAATACCATAGCAAGAATGTCGTCGAAAAAATAAATTAAGAAGTTATATTTGCCATTTTTCGTTCCGAGCAGTAGTTTTTTCAGATAAAAAGGTTCAAAACAGGCCAATCATACATTACGGTTGAACGGAAACCTGTCCGTGAGTATAAATGCCCTCTTACGATTTTTCGATATAACGCATCCTTTTCGAGATAAAAATTCATTAATATCGAAATGCTGAGTAAACTTGAAAGACACGTAACTTGTGCACGTGATAGGAGGTTTTGGGGTCACTGAAAACAAATCCGATATGATGAATAATATGAAAATTCAAAACGGCGGAGTCAGAATGTGTGTGTGTGTGCGTGTACGTGCGCGTGTGCATGTGCGTGTTTGTATGCGTGTGCGTGTACATGTGCGTGTGCGTGGGTGTGCGCGTGCGCGTGCGTGTGTGTGTCTTAACGCGCGCAAAAGAGCATGTAAATGAAGCGCATATTGATGTCCTGATATAAGGACTTCACTCAAAGAAAACTTGAAATTAAGAAACATCTGCAATGTGTAATCGTTCAAATTCTCGTGGCCTAATTGTACTTCAAGATCGAGAAGGATCCGGTGTCCTTACATCAGGATATCAATATGCGCTCTCATTTACATGCTTTCTCGCGCGCGCGCGCGGGCGCACTGGCGCACACATGCACACGCACGTGCATACAAGCACACGTACACGCGTACACACAAATTCTGACTCCGCCGTTTTGAATTTTCATATTATTCATCATATCGGATTTGTTTTCAGTGACCCCAAAACCTCCTATCACGTGCACAAGTTATGTGTCTTCCAAGTTTTATAATCAGCATTTCGATATTAATGAATTTTTATCTCGAAAAGGATGCGTTATATCGAAAAATCGCAAGAGGGCATTTATACTTCAAATTTGATGCAGAATATGACCATATTTTTTTCAATTACAAATTTTAAATTTCGATTTTTCGTCCACCATATTGGATCCACCATTTTGAATTTTTAAAAATCCAATATACCTAACGTAAAATACACGAACGAACACACAATTTAGATGCAAAACAAAATTTTACTCTGTGCTTTTATAATTTTTTTTTCAAGTTATAACTTTTTATTATGTGAATCTCTTTATTCTAGGCGCTATACTGAGTCCGCCATTTTGAATTTTTCAAATGCCACTCGGTATTCGAAAGCTAATATGTTTACATAAATTTTGCACCCTGAAAAAAATTTTTAAACCCTCTCAAATTTTGGGCGTGGCGGTGTTCCGGTTGACATGGAATGTCCCATATAATAAATAATATAATATATATGTATATGTAAAAAATGATAAGAATTTTATAAAAATAAGTGCAAATAATTCTACACATATTTACGAAGAATTTTGATTTTTTCGTCAAAATTCTTCGTAAATATGTATAGAATTATTTGCACTTATTTTTACAAAATTCTTATCACTTTTAACATGCTTTCGAGAATTAAATTACAGATATCGTAATACTTTGCTATGTTGGCCATGTGCAATAGTATAACTTTAATAATTAATTATTCGACAACCATGCAGACAATCGTCTTAAACTTTTGCATGGAGGACAGATTCCCATAGACGAATATTTTCTATAAACTTGAATTTATTTTTATCATCTTTATTTCAGCAATCACCCTCCTTAAGTCATCTGATCTAAACCTCTGTATCCTTATTGGCTCTCCTAAGCAATCTAGTAGGAGAAAGTAGTATCGTGTGCTGTATGGCTTTAGAGGCTGATTATTTCATCTTGCAGCAGCCGATAATCGAGGAAAAGAGTGCAGGAATTTAAAGAATTTGTTGTCGAACAAATACGGAATTATGAGAGGTGGCTCGTGTCATCGTCCGTTGTATCGGCTAGCAATAGGCATAAACATCGAGGAAGTCGCTGCGAGCGATTCATCGGTTTTCCCCGAGGGTGCCTCGCGGGAAAGTAGTCACGGACGGTCGCGGTCGTTGTGCTTTTCACCGCGCGCGAGGAGGAGGACCCCCGGATCCTCCTCGTCGGCAATTTCGTTGGAGTTTATCGTCGCGTGCAAATGAAAACGGCGATATATCGGCGTCCTATCGACATTACTCTCATAAGTCCCGCGGATTTACAGCGCGCGATAATCGTAAAAAGGGATAATCGTCGCGCGTTTGCGTCGCGCCGTGCGTGCATCGCGGTAATTGCGATTTACGCATCCCCGCGTCTTCACTTCGTTCTCGCTCTCGTTTAATTGCAGCCCCTGCAATTCGCTTTCGTTGCGCTGCGCTGTGACCGCGTATAGGAGTATTCCGCGGCGGACCCGCCGGGGTTGTCCCTGCGAAAGGGTGTGTGCGTAAAATGCCTGGCCGTTGCCGAGTACAACCAGTTTCCTTCCACCGCTTCGAAATCTTGCTGTTGCACTCATCGAAGTCACTTGGCGAGTTGACTGAGACTTGGCGAAAGAAGGTGGGAGAGAGACAAGCGGAGGGAGGGGGGAGAGAGGGGGAGATAGGGGGAGGGGGAGAGAGAGAGAGAGAGAGAGAGAGAGAGAGAGAGAGAGAGAGAGAGAGAGAGAGAGAGAGAGAATGTGCGCGAATGGAGAGTGGGTGGTGCGTAGTAGAATGGCGGATAAAAGATAGAAGAAGAGGCCTGAGGGGCGGGCGGGAGAAGAAATGTGGACAAGAGTAATCGGAGGAAGTGACGAGAGATGCGAATTAGTAATGGCGAGGAAGAAGAAGAGGCACAAAAAGGATACGAATAATGATGGAGCTATGAAAGAGACAATCAAGAGAGAACTGGATCTCGATGCAGTTAAACGGCAGAGACAGACTGCCGCTCTCGCGGTTGAAAAACGAGAGAAGAGAGCGCAAGCGAGGAGGAAGAAGGAAAGAAGATGATCGTTTGACGAAGACAGAGCGATGCGTGAAGATAGCGCTGAGAGAGCGAAGAAAGTCGAAGAGGAAAACGAGAAAGGCTGAAATTGTTAAAGAAAGAGGACATATCCGTCAAAATCTGAAATAGAGATGAAGAGATAATGTGCTATGGCGGCAGCTGAAGAACGAAGAGAGTCGAGAAGAAACGATCGGCGCGCGTGTGTATGTGTGTGTGTATGTCACGTGTGTCCGCACCACACACAGTGCGGCACAGTGAACCGCACACCGCCGATCTCTTGAGGAAGGTGGGGTGATTCGCGGCGGTGCGCGCACCGCACTCCGGCCAGGCCGCGCGCTAGACGCTGCCGCTGGTCGTGTACAACAGCCTTCGCATTCTTCGGAGAAGTGAAAGCAGTTTCAGGGAAATTCTGGTGGCGGCCGGGCGTTCGTTCGTTCGTTCGTCGCTCGTTAAAGCCGAGAGTTGGCCGTGCGACGTTTCTTTCACCTCCGCGACGCAGCGGAGATCCGCGATCCAGGCCGGATTCCCATTTTCCTTATTATCGGCGCACGGGATCGGGCGTGCGCATTACGAAATCGCTCGTAATCCCGCCCTAGGGAGACGCGCGCGCTTACGTATGTATACGAGCGCGAACAGATGGCGAACTCGGACGCAATCCCGTGGCCTACAGTGAGATAATGGACGAACGCCACGAGGCACCTACTACGTCGAGAACGTTGCGAAATCGTCGTCGAGGAGGAATAGAAGAGCGCCGCTCGTGAGTCAGATTTCGTGGGTTCTATTTTACCTAGGAATGTCCCGGATTCTTCTCGCTGAGTAAGGGAGAATACGCTCTTTCGTAAATGAAAGGGTCTCACCGTCGCGCCGCCGCCAAGATCGTTCGATCTCGTTACGTAAATATCGTATCATTACGTCAGTTGTTTCCTCTTATCTTCGATATTGCCGCAGAAAACGTCTACCCTAAAAATCGGGCGCTCTCCCGTGGAAAATGACTGTCTGTTCATAATTTTGGTGTATGTGCATCACTAGAGTGCATGTATGTACAACGGTGATACCGTCAGGAACAGCTGAACGGATCATGATTTACAGATGCGCGAAAAAAGTGTCGAGGAAATAATTCGTCTCGGACGAACATGACGGGCAATTTTCGATTGACAACTTTCGTTACAATTTAGTCCAGCTGACGTTAATATTTCGACGTTATTCTAATATAGACGTTCTTTGGGGAGAGAGAGAGTCTCCGGGACTTTGGTGTCGTTCAACTTGACGCGCCGTACCGAAAAGTAAACCGCTGACCACAATCCTATACACTAATGCATTAAAATTCGACAGTAGTGCTCGCTGGACATTACTTTATCTTATTATATTCTTTTCTTGTTTCCTTTTGCTTTATCTTTTTTATCTTGTTTTATCTTATTTTATTTTATTTTATCTGGTTTAATTTTATTTATCTTTTTAGATTCTTTATAACGTCCCAGCAAGACCAAATAACACCCAGTAATGCCCCAAAAATGCCTAGTAATGCTTAGTAATGCCGCAAATCTGTACACTACAATGCCCTCAGTGATTTATCCCTCGCGAGACCCGATCGGCATGATTCTTAAAATCACAATTGTCGACAGAGACTTGTTTCTTTCCGCACTCGGGTGATCGTAATGCCCTGGATTAACATCCGAAATGCGTTTTGGGATGCGAATCTCTCCATCGTCGCGAAACTCTGTCTATCCAACGAGCCTCGCCATTTTATTGCAACGTCGCGAGTTGCGGAGTCGAGCGTTCGCGTCGTATGGGTTTTTTCCTTTCTTTCCTCTGCCTTTGCTTTTTCTTTTTTTTTCGTCAATTTCCGTCGCGCGTCTTCCCGATGAGACATCGACCGATCGTCACCTTGGTCGCGCGAAATTCCACAGGTTTGAGCCAGGTGATCGGAATTCGAATTTGCGACGCGACGCGACGTCAACGGCGGCAGCGTTGGACTTTCGGGGATTTAATCCAGGAATCGACCCCGGCTCGTTGCGTGCCACAACTACCTAATCGACATTACGGTACCTCGGGCCATACGCGGCTCCGTTTCGTTACGCGTCGAGTGCTGGGATTAAATAGCGGTACAGTATTGACTTATACATATCGGCAAGTAGCATACGAGCAGTACGAGGCGAGTCAGACGCGCAAGTATTTTCGTGAATAGAATATTTCGTGATACTTCGGTGTATATGGTTCAATTTACCATTATTATTTATTATATAAGAGAGAGAGAGAGAGAGAGAGAGAGAGAGAGAGAGAGAGAGAGAG